GTGAAAGATTCTTAAAGAGATAGGAATACCAGACCACCTTACTTGTCTCATGAGAAACCTATATTTGGTTCAAAAAGCAACAATTAAAACCAGACATGGAACAACAGATTGGTTCAAAATTGGGAAAGGAATATGTCAAGGCTGTTATATTGCCACTCTGCTTATAAAACTGACCTGCAGAGCACATCAGGCAAAATGCTGGGCTGGATAAATCACAAGCTGGAGTCAAGCTTGCTGGGAGAAATATGATACCACTCTAATGAGAGAAAGTGAAGAGGAATTAAAGAACCTCTTGATAAAGGTGAAAGAAGAGAGTGAAAAAGCTGATTTGAAATTCAACATTCAAAAAAGTAAGATTATAGCATCTGGTCCCATCATCTCTGGAGAAAGAAATGGCAACCCACTCCAGTATTGTTGCCTGGAGAATTCCATGGACAGAGGAACCTGTCAGGCTGCAGTCTATGGGGTCCCAGAGAGTTGGATATGACTGAGCGACTATCACTCACTACCACGGAAAATAGAAGGGGAAAAAGTGGAAGCAGTGACATATTTTATTTTTTTGGGCTCCAAAGTCACCGTGGAAGGTGACTGCAGCCATGAAATTGAAAGATGCATGCTCTTCGGAAGAAAAGCTATGACAAACCTAGACAGCATATTAAAAAGTAGAGACATCACTTTGCTGACAAAGGTCCGTATAGTCAAAGCTATGGTTTTTTCCAGTAGTCTTGTATGGGTGTGAGAGTTGGACCATAAAGAAGGCTGAGTGCTGAAGAATTGATGCTTTTGAATCGTGGTGTTGGAGAAGACTCTTGAGAGTACCTTGAACTTCAAGGAGATTAAATCAGTCAATACTAAAGGAAATCAACCCTGAATACTCATTGGTATGACTGATGCTAAAGCTGAAGCTCTAATACTTTGGCCACCTGATGCGAAGAACCGACTCATTGGAAAATACCCTGATGCTGAGAAAGATTGAGGACAGGAGGAGAAGCAGGTGACAGAAGATGAAACAGATAGCATCACCAATTCAATGGACACAAATCTGAGCAAGCTTTGGAAGACAGTGAGGGCAGGGAAGCCTGACATGCTGCAGTCCATGGAGTTGCAAAGAGTCAGACAGGGCTTAGCAACTGAAAAACAACAAAATGGTAGGGGTGTGTGTGTGTGCATGTGATTAAACCACATGGACAACTGGAGAGTAGCGTGGAAGCGCTGTGGAGGAAGAAAGACAGAAAAGTGGAAGAGCTGGAAAGAAAGTAATTTAATTTCATATTTTCATTAGGATTTGTTAAGATTATCTTTTCATTAAGATTGGTACTGCTTCTAATGTCTTCCATAATGATGGTCCAAGAGCGATTATTAATAACCAGGTCTTTCTGGTGTAGTCCTGTATTGAATGACTAGATACTTGATGAGCTTCAATTAATCAGACATACTTATGTATCATCCTTTCTATTTGTGATGGATGTTTAAATATAAACAAGATTTATCTAGCCTGAGAACTTGGCCACATCACTGTAAGTGGATTTGATTTGATTTAAGAAAAATATGTAGAGGTGTATTAATTATTGGAAAAAATGTAGTGCACCTTTGACTTTCCAGTCTTAGCCATAAGAAAATTTGAGGAAAGATATTGCTGTATGGGGACACAGTGGAAACAGTGGCTGACTTTATTTTTTGAGGCTCCAAAATCACTGCAGATGGTGATTACAGCCATGAAATTAAAAGATGCTTACTCCTTGGAAAGAAAGTCATGACCCACCTAGATAGCATATTAAAAAGCAGAGACATTACTTTGCCAACAAAGGTCCATCTGGTCAAGGCGATGGTTTTTCTAGTGGTCATGTATGGATGTGAGAGTTGGACTGTGAAGAAAGCTGAGCACTGAAAAATTGATGCTTTTGAACTGTGGTGTTGGAGAAGACTCTTGAGAGTCCCTTGGACTGCAAGGAGATCCAATCAGTCCATCCTAAAGGAGATCAGTCCTGGGTGTTCATTGGAAGGACTGATGCTGAAGCTGAAACTCCAATACTTTGGCCACCTGATGTGAAGAGTTGACTCATTGGAAAAGACCCTAATGCTGGGAAGGATTGAGGGCAGGAGGAGAAAGGGATGACAGAAGATGAAATGGTTGGATGGCATCACCGACTCAATGGACATGAGTTTGAGTAAACTCCAGGAGTTGGTGATGGACAGGGAAGCCTGGCGTGCTGCGATTCATGGGGTCACAAGGAGTCAGACATGACTGAGCAACTGAACTGAACTGAACTGATTGCTGTTTGACAAAAGAGATGATTTGTGGAGAAAGAACTGAAAGTTTTCTTCTTCTCCAGGATGATTATAACTGGTCCTTAAGTGATCTATAAATTTTACAGTGTGTCTCCTGACACTAATAAAGGCAACTTCTTTAGGGATTTTGAGAGAAATATGTATTTTTATTTCCTATTTTGTCCCCTTAAGCTGGAACCTAGCAGAACTTTTTGCCTTCTAATATTGCTCAATTTCACCTTAATATTACCCAAGTCCTATTTTAGCTCAGTTTTCTTCAGAGTTATACAGCTATTAGTCAATCAAAGTGCATTTGCTTTTCAGTCTCATACAGAGACACATGGAGCTAAATGCTTTTCTATCCTGAAAAATACGAGTTTCCAAAGATGTGAATGTGTTGTGAGGAGCTTGTCTTTGTTAGGTGAGATATTTTGAGGCCTCATAAAAAACTTACTTTATTTGTGTATTGCTTTATAGTTTTCACAAAATGATTGTCTTGTGTAGTGTTTCACTTTTCACTGGCATGAGAACTCTCTCACCTGAGAGTAATTACTTCTGTTTTACACCTGAGAACACTGAAAATCAAAGAGGGCATGTGACATGATAGTCACTGAGCTGAAAAGCGCTGGGAGTCACAATGGGTCTTGTGGCTCCAAGTCCAATGTTTTCTTGACAGACTTTTACTGGGTGACCCCCCCCCCCCCAATGCTTGTCAAGAGTGTGATGGTAAAATATTTCTCTTCAAGTCAACATACTAATGTGATTTGTAAAGTTTACAAATATTAGAAAGTAAAATATTGCTCAGTGTTAAGAATTGGAGTCAAAGAACCACTTCTTTCGGTTATGAAGGCAAAGTATGTTTCCTCCATGCCCAACTGAATCATATTGACAACCAGTTGTACTAAAAAGCAGCTTGGTACCCACGATTGCTGGGCTCAAATTTAGAGACAAGAAAGTGAAGACTGAGATAGGGCTGGTGGAGCTGAAAGTACCCAGGAGAGCCTGAAAGAATTATTACATAGATTGTGAGAAACTGGTCTGTGGGGATGATCATTCAGTTTACTCACTTTCTCCATTTTAGTCAATTATCAAGCAGAAAAGGAGAACATTTTCCTTGGAGTGATTTGTTTTCCTGTCAGATTTTCTATCTGCAATGTTTTAAATTTTAGTATGGTATCTGATAGTGACTTGAGTGGAATTAGCCAATATTCTGGAGAATTATTATTTATATAATTTTGGTGGATTTCTAGTCCATGAAAATTATTGTTGTTGTTCAGTCTCTGCATCATGTCCAACTCTGCAACTCCATGGACTGTAGCATGCCAGGCTTCCCTGTCCTTCACTATCTCCTGGAGTTTGCTCAGACTCATGTCCATTCAGCTGATGATGCCATCCAACTATCTCATTTGCTGTCACCCCCTCTCTTTCTGTCCTCAGTCTTTCCCAGCATTGGGAGTCTTTTCCAATGAGTTAGTTCTTTGCATCAATTATTGGTGACTTTAGTTAGTAATCATTTTTACCTCTAAATTCATAGAATAAATCATAAAATATTATTGCTGAATAAATAAGGAATGATTTGTTATTAGGTGATTGTAAGTGCAAAAATATGTCTCATGGAACTTTTTTTTTGTATCAGTTAAGATTTTTTTCATTAGAAAACTGGGAAAAGGATACATTTCAAATTTGATACAAGATTGAATTGATTACTTTTTCAGCTAGACAAAGACACAGAGCAAAACTTTGCACTTGACTATGTGATAAGAAACCAGCTCTCTTGCAGAAAAGAATAATTAAAGTTGCCAATGGGAGATCTTTCATTGAAAACGTTTCTTGATCTTCAAAAAATGAGACATGGGGATCATTTTTGAAGGTTGTTAGTAGCAGCAGCAGCAGCAGCTGCAGTATTTGAACTCAGCTAAGATTGACAAACATCATCTCCTGGACTAAAATTTTCTCAGACTCTTCTGAGCTCTTCTCAGTTAAGCTCTGACTTTGGGCTTCCATGTCTGTCTTGGCCTTGTTAATTTTAGCAACGATCCTGCTGTCAGTGCAGCCAGAATCCTCTACCTTTGATATGAAGGTGCTGTGACGTGCTCAATTGCTTCAGCTGTGTCTGGCTCTTTGTGACCTCATGGACTGTCTCCTGCCAGGCTCCTCTGCCCATGGGATTTCCCAGGCAAGAATACTGGAGTGTGTCACCATGACCTCCTCCAGGGGATCTTCCTGACCTAGGGATTGAGCCTGACTCTCCTGTGTCTCCTGAATTGCAGACAGATTCTTTGTTGCTGTTGTTGTTTAGTTTTTATTTCATAATCATAAATTTAACTTTGAAATCCAGCTAAACTTGAAGAGGGGATAAGGAAAATATGGAACCCAAAAAACTAAAGTGAGAGCAGAAAGATCATAGGATATTTCTAGCAGATGCAGGTGAAGGGTCTTTTCCTGGGCCGCAGAAGGAATGGTCTTGTGGTTAAGTAAGTTCAATTCAGTTCAGTTGCTCAGTCATGTCCGACTCTTTGCGACCCCATGGACTGCAGCACACCAGGCCCCTCTCCATCACCAACTCCCGGAGTTTACCCAAACTCATGTCGACTGAGTTGGTGATGTCATTCAACCATCTCATCCTCTGTCGTCTCCTTCTCCTCCTGCCTTCAAAATCTTTTCCAGCATCAGAGTCTTTTCAAATGAGTCAGTTCTTCACATCAAGTTAACTAAAGCACAAGTCAAATTTATTAGATTTGTCCACAGTCAGCAATAATCTTCTTGTTGGTCTTGCTGTTACTGGACCCAAAGCACTCCACAGATTCCACAGTATTCATGCCCTCTTTCATCTTGCCAAACACCACATGCTTGCCATCCAACCATTCAGTCTTGGCATTGCAGGTGAAAAACTGGGAACCATTTGTGTTGGGGCCAGTGTTTGCCATGGACAAGATGTCAGGACCTGTATGCTTCAGGATGGAATTCTTATCATCAGATTTCTTGCCATAGATGGACTTGCCACTGGTGTCATTCTGACGTGTGAAGTCACCACCCTGGCACATAAATCCTGGAATTATTCTGTGAAAGCAGGAAATTCTATAACCAAATACTTTCTCCCCAGTGCTCAGAGCAGGAAAATTTTCTGCTGTCTTTGGAACTTTGTCTGCAAACAGCTTGAAGGAGATGAGGCCCAAAGGCTCACCATTGACAGCGATGTTGAAGAACAAGGTGGGGTTGACTGTGGGGTTGACCATGACCATGGACAGCGTGGGAGACTCTGGGGTGGTGGAGTCTTCAAGGCCGCAGGCAGATGCTTTACCTCTGAACCACCAGGGAATCCCGTCCCTTGATATCTGATCACTCTTAATATGTGCTTAAGCTCCCCATCCTCTACCATCCCCAAGTGATGTGTGATCACCCTGGCCTGCCTTCAGCAAGAATCCTGCTAGGTTAGTTTAGCCAGAACCCCCCTGCCCCCATATTTCCCCTTAGTAATTTCCCACCCCCCAACTCTCATCCTGCTCCCTTACATTCCTGGCTGTTAATCCCCACTTTTCCCTGTTGTATTTGGTGTTTAGTCCAGTCTCTCTTCCCTGATGCAAAACTCCTTGTCCTTATACCAGTCATGACACTTCCCTTAAATGAATTCTGCCTCATTGTTCTTTAACAAGCGTCATGATATCATGAATTTATTTTCTTTAACAGATAAGCTATTTGATCATTAATCTGAGGCCAAACAGTGACTTTACTAGTAATGAATCTTAAATCACTGAGTTCAAGGAAAAGCAGAAACCAAATTGAGGAGGCTGGGGCCTTTTTGTAAGATTGGTAAAAAGTATGACATCTAAGGATGTATCAGTTAATTGGAGAGAATAAAAGATCAGAATAAAGATTTGGGTTTCCTTTGGTAATAAGCAGTCACTGAAAGCTTTCTAGGGACATTAGAAGATTCTGGAATGATACATAAAACAGAATGTGAGGGGGAAAAATAGAGACAATTTGGAGACATTGCCAGTGCTCCAAATGAAAAATCCCAAGAGTCTAAAGTAAGCTAGTGGTGGTGAGAATGCGGAGGATGAAATGGATGTTAGAGCTGTTATGAAGGCAGAATGACTATTGATTACATGTGGGCAACCGAGGGAGAGTGAACTGTTAAGGGTGTGAAAATGTTTTCAGCTTAGGGCTCAGGAGGATGGTGTCCCCATGAAGGAGGAAATGTATTTAGTTCATTTAAAAATGTGTGGCTGACCTTCAGAGAAAAATAAGAGCTCTATATAGATAAAAAGGAATTATCAACATCCAGCTGGTATTTCAAGTCATGAGCCTGGATCAAACTGGCAAAGGAGAAAACAGTTTGAGGGAAGAGAAGAAATCCATGGATTAATCCTTAAGAGATGTTCATGTTGAAGTTGGTGCCAGGAGACAGAGTAACCACAAAGAGAGAGGGGGGAATGGGAGCAGAAGAGTCTATAGTGAACCAGTTGGAGGTTTTTATACAAGAAGGCTGTTAACACAATTGAGTGCTGCAGGGGAAGTTGAAAATGGGAAGAAGCCAGTGGGCTTGATGACTATGAGGTCTCTGATGGCTATGGGAGAACAATTTCACCACATCAGATGAGAATATACTTTGGATTATGGTAAATGAAAAGAAAAATATAGGAATTTGGTAGCATATTTTATTTTTGGAAAGTTTGGCAGAAAAAGGAAGGAAGTAGATAAGACTGCATTTGAAGAAAAAGGTAAGGAAGGTACAGAAAGGTTGTTGTTTAAGAAGAGGGTATGTGCAGGTATTTATAAACACTAGGGAAGGGTCCTTTGAGAGGATGTGATGTGAGAAGTAAGCAGTGGGAAGATTCTTCAAGAGCAAGTTCTCAGAGAAGGTCAGGCCAGCTGGCATCCAGGGTATGATTGGAAGGATTATTATCCTTTCTTTTTTCTCACTGAAATGGAAGGTAATAGAGAAGATTTGAGTCAGATAAGGGAATGTTGGGTTGTTTCTGCCTGATGATCTCAAACTTCACTGTGGTGTAGGATGAATGGAAAATGAATTTTATGTGTTCTGATTTTTTCCTTTATAGATGTTCCTTAATGCACTAAGTGTTGTTACCAGAGTGAATCAATAGTTCATTTAATTACATATAACTGTATTAGTCTTTAATTATAGAGTAGAAGATTTTCCTTAATTTTAATAAGTATATACATTCTTCTAAATTCACACATCAGAAATAACAATGTTATCTGAAAAAGGAGATACATACATACATATTTGTGTAAAACTGAATCACTTTGCTGCACACCTAAAACCAACGCAATATTGCAAATCAACAAGACCTCAATGAAAAAATAAATAATATTGGTAGTATAAAATGAAATGCAGTTAGATCAACTTTAATCCCAGTGTAAGAGATCTGAATTATGAGCTGTAACTGTCACTGAAGCACACTTAAAGAAGGATGTTTCCCTGGCCTGTCCTCATTTGTTAGATCTGCCCTCTACCCCAACTTTTCCTTAACATGTCCCCTTAAATATCTTAGAGACCTTTCATTGTCAGCCTGTCCTTTATTGAAGTAACGGTTTGTCCCCTTTCCTGGCCATCTTCCTAAGGGTCCCTACTCCCTGATGTTCACCTTCTTGTGTGATCCCTGCCCACATTGTACCGGGGTTGGCCTATGTGACCAATATGGAGGAAGTGCTGATAAGTCAATAATGCTATTAGGTTAAAAAAACTCTGCAGCTTCCATCTGGAAAGTTTTTCTCTTGCTTGTGCTTTCTTTCCTTTGGCTATCTCACTGTATGGGGAGGGTGGGGCACGGAGTGGGGAGGAGAGGAAGCCAGCTGCTGTGTTGAGAGCAGTCTTATGGAGCAGAACTGACACCTATAGTCAATCACCAAGACCTGCCAGCCACCACATGAGCAAGCCTGGGAATGAATGCTTCAGTAACAACAGACTCCTAAGATGACTGTGGCCCTGGCCGGTAGCTTGGTTGCAATTTCGTGGAGACCTGCTCCCATATTTCTGACCTTCAGAAACTCTGTGCTAAGTAGGTGAAGTTCATATCTTTTAGGGTAATTTGTTAAGCAGGAAAAGAGAGCTAATAAACCCCTTACCAGACCCTCTTCTTGGATTCCCCAGTATCAATGAATTGAACCATCATCTGCTCACTTCCACGAGCCAAGATTGGAAGAATCATCCAGGGTACCACTTTCTCCTTCACTCTGCCAATCAATTATAAAGTTCTGCTAACCACTTATTGGGTACTGGGGACTAATTTAGATACTGTGTGTGTGCTGTGTCGCTTCAGTCATGTCCAACTCTTTGTGATCCTATGGACTATAGCCTACCAGGCTCTTCTGTCCATGGGGATTCTCCAGGCAAGAATACTGATGTGGGTTGCCATGCCCTCCTCCAGGGGATCTTCCTGTCTAGGGAACCCATGTCTCTAATGTCTCCTGCATTGGCAAGTGGGTTCTTTACCACTAGCACCATCTGGGAAACCCAATGTAGATACTAGGATGCCTTGATGAATAAAATAAAGAAAATAATCTCCTCTTATGAAATTTGCATTTTAGTACAAGATCAGGCAGTAAACAGAGAATAATATATTTGTCTGATGGTGGTGATAGGTGCTGTGAAGAAGAAAAGGCGTATAAAGAAGAAAGTGGTGGTGATGGGGAGCTTAGTTTATGCAGAAGGGTCAGGGAAGGCATCTCTAGTACAATGTCATTTGAAGAGAAATATGAAGGAAGTGCCCCTGTGGATACCATGCAGAAAGGTAGTCCAGATGGTGGGTATCATGGATGCAAAGACCTTGAAATGGGTGTGTGTTTGATGTGTTGGAGGAACACTAAGATGACTAAAGTTGTATCAGAAAGACTGAATAGGAAGTTGGTAGGAAAAGTTATCTAAAAGGAGTATATAACCTTGAAACTCATAGAAAAAAATTCTTGATTCTATTCTACATTCATTGGAAAACCATTGAAACTTTTGAGTACAAGAGTGACAAGATCATGTTCATGTTTCAACAGGATCATTATAGCTGAGAACAGGTTTTGTGGAGGAATGGGAGAAGGGATAACAGCAGAAAAATAATGAAAATGTAGGTTAAAATGTTGGAGTTAGAGGTAGCCTGATATGGTCAGATTGTAGATGTATTTTGAAGGTAGCACTGATAATTGGTTGGTACGTTGGGTGTGGGCGTGAGAGAAAGTGAAGAATCAAAGTTGTCTTCAGATGATGTTGAGATGCTCTTGTGGGCCTGAGGGAAGGATGTGTCAGTCTAGGCTTCCCAGCCCTTATGTCCATAGTTGACCACTGCTCCCCACAACCCACCATGCCCTACGCCAAGCATTCCCTATGCCAAGCTGCTTCCCCACCCCAGGTGGCTCCTGAGAGCTCCTGGGTGAATTCTTCAGAACCTGTTCAAAAATGACTGCTATTGTAATAGTGGCTGCAGTTTCTGATAATATTTATCTTTGAAGTTATGTTAAACTTGCTCATATCCCGTTATATTAGACACTATATTCTTTCTGTGAGTGCTCAGTGGCTCAGTTGTGTCTGACTCTTTGGGACCCCATGGGACTGTAGTCAGCCAGGCTTCTCTGTTCATGGAATTTCCCAGGCAAGAATACTGGAGTGGGTTTCCATTTCCTTCTCCCAGGAATCTTCCTGACCAAGGGACCAAACCCACATCTCTTGTGTCTCCTGCACTGGCAGGTGGATTCTTTACCAATATGCTATTAAATGCATTTGAATGTATAAATAATTTCTTGCATTTCATATGTATTGAGTGCTCCTCATAGATTATTTCATGATTCCTGGTAGCAACCCTATGAAGCAGGCACTCTTATTAGGACAATTTTATGGCCAAGAATACTGAGGGTTGGAAGCATTAAGGTAATTTGCCCACATTCACACAGCTAATAAGTGGTGGGGACAAAAATGTATGTAATTCCAAAATGTATGTAATTCTGTAATTCCAAACTCTAGTCCAACAGAACTACATTCTGTCTCTGTAAAGTGAGTAAAGTCTTTAACCCACTCAGTTACACTGACCACAAGATTTTATGTCTCACTTGCAAATAATTGTATGAAAATTCTACATTTGAGGAATCAAATACTTGAGAGGTATTAGTGATATGTGCTAACAGAATCTCAGAGAAATGACAAAATTCCCACCTGTACATGAAAGGGCTTCAGCATCCACAATTCTCTGGCAAGGACTGACAGCACAACCTACACTACTGGCTAAATGTT